CCAAGACAATGAACTGTGAATTTTTGCTCCATCACCATTCACTTTTGGGCAGAAAATCCCAAAAATCGGGTTCATCCCAAGACCATGAACTGTGGGTTTTTGTTCCATCACCATTCACTTCTGGGCAGAAAATCCCAAAAGTCTGGTTCTCCCCAAGACCATGGACTGTGCATTTTTGCTCTATCACCATTCATTTTTGGGCAGAAAACCCCAAAAATTGGGTTCACCCCAAGACCATGAACTGTGGGGTTTTTTTCCACTATCACCATTCAGTTTTGGGCAGAAAACCCCAAAAATTTGGTTCACCCCAAGACCATGAACTGTGGGTTTTTGCTCCACCACCATTGACTTTTGGGCAGAAAACCCCAAAAATTTGCCTCACCCCAAGGCAATTAATTATGGATTTTCTTCCACCATCACCATTCATTTTGGACAGAAAACCCCAAAAATCAGGTTTACCCCAAGACCATGAACTGTGGGGTTTTTTTCCACCATCACCATTCAGTTTTGGGCACAAAACCCCAAAAATTTGCCTCACCCTAAGTCAATTAATTATGGATTTTCTTCCACCATCACCATTCATTTTTGGACAGAAAACCCCAAAAATTTGGGTCATCCCAAGACCATGAACTCCGAATTTTTTCTCCACTATCTCCATTCACTTTTTGGGCAGAAAACCCTAAAAATTTGGCTCAGCCAAAGACTATGAACTGTGAATTTTTGGCTCCACCATCACTATTCAGTTTTGGGCAGAAAATCCCCAATATTGGGTTCATCCCAAGACCACGAACTGCGGGTTTTTCTCCACCATCACCATTCATTTTTGGGCAGAAAACCCCAAAAGTTTGGTCCACCCCAAGACCATGAACTGTGGGTTTCTGTTCCATCACCATTCACTTCTGGGCAGAAAATCCCAAAAGTTTGGTTCACCCCAAGACCATGAACTGTGAGTTTTTGCTCCATCACCATTCAGTTTTGGGCAGAAAACCCCAAAAATTGGGTTCTCTCCACGACAATGAACTGTGGATTTTTGTTCCACCATCACCATTCATTTTTGGGTAGAAAACCCCAAAAATTGGGTTCACCCCAAGACCATGAACTGTGGGGTTTTTTTCCACCATCACCATTCACTTCTGGGCAGAAAATCCCAAAAGTTTGGCTCAGCCAAAGACCATGAACTGAGGGTTTTTGTTCCACTATCTCCATTCACTTTTGGGCACAAAACCCCATAAATTTGCCTCACCCCAAGACAATTAATTATGGATTTTGTTCCACCATCACCATTCAGTTTTGGGAAGAAAATCCCAAAAATCGGGTTCATCCCAAGACCATAAATTGTGGATTTTTGCTCCACCATCACCATTCAGTTTTGGGCAGAAAATCCCCAAAATTGGGGTCATCCCAAGACCATAAATTGTGGATTTTTGCTCCACCATCACCATTCATTTTTGTGCAGAAAACCCCAAAAATTGGGTTTATCCCAAGACCATGAACTGTGGATTTTTGCTCCACCACCATTCAGTTTTGGGCAGAAAATCCCAAAAATCGGGTTCATCCCAAGACCATAAATTGTGGATTTTTTCTCCACCATCACCATCCACTTTTGGGCAGGAAATCCCAAAAATTTGGTTTATCCCAAGACCACAAACTGTGGATTTTTGTCCCACCACCCATGGATTAATTATTTAAAAATCCCAAAATTCCTCTTTGCTTGGGATCTGATAAAAACCTAATAAAAACATTTTGGATATTTCAAATTCTCACATTGCACTGGCACAACTCCACCTGTAAATTTTGGGCACAAATAGAAGGATTTTGAAAAAAAAATTAAGATTTTTTACCTATAGATGGGGATTTGAAGGGGTATTTGTCAGGAAGGTCGACTCGAACTTTCCATACTCCACCTT